ATACATACATACCATGCATACCATACATACCATACATACCATACATCCCATACATGCCATACATCCAATACATCCCATACATCCCATACATACATCCCATACATACATCCCATACATACATCCCATACATCCCATACATCCCATACATCCCATACATCCCATACATCCCATACATCCCATACATACCATACATACCATACATACCATACATACATATCATACATACCATACATACCATACATACATACCATACATACCATACATACCAGACATACATACATACAATACAAAACATTACAATACATTACAAAACATTACAATACATTACAATACATTACAATACATTACATTACATTACATTACATGACATGACATTACATGACATGACATGACATGACATTACATTACATACATGCATATACATAACATACACATGCACATATACATAGACATATACATAGACATATGCATGTAAATATTAAAAAAAATGTACACATATAATATACGTACATACTGTACATGTGTACATATATATATGTATATGTCATATGTATAGTCATGTATATATATATAATCACAAAAAGTCAAATGGCCAATAGGAGCATTTTTTCATCACATCTCCCAGTTTCAGTTCTGGAAGGGACAAATTTCGATTCCAATCTGAAACTTCCACGTGGGCCATGGAGCTTCAAACATACCATGGCTAACCTTTACCAAATACTTACCTTCTAGTACTGCAACCTGGCAGCTGGAAAAAGTTGCTAGATATCATTTTCCAACACACCTAGATTGTATTTAGATTGCGCTATATCGCAATAATCTTAGTAAAGCAATGGTACTGTAGAACCATACCAAAATTTACCATAAATGGATGGTATGAACCATCAACATATGGGTATGGGTCAAAACTATCAACCCCAAAGATAGTACTAAGAATGACCCATTCTGCAGGACAATTGTACCACAATTCTCACCCGTGCGCATATGGCTGGGCTATTTTTATTGAGCCATTAAAAAATACCCTTCTCCCATCTCATTATACTATAAACCCCAGTAAATCAAATATTATACTATATATATCTGGGACCATAATCTCATTATACTATTGAAAGTATATTATTGGTTGATAGTATACAGAAGTCCCTATAGTAACCGATCAACCAGGATATTTTGGCTCTATTGGATTTACTACCTTCACAGCCAGCCCTTGGATGATCTTGCCTTGGCTGAAGGCCAACTGCAGAATTCTGGCTGCCTGCGGCGAGTCATAACCCCTACTTTGGGGGGCGCAGGGGTGATTTTCATGGGTATAACTACTATATATATACTAATATAACCTCCATAAGTTGGGATATAATCCCTACAACTGTGGTTATATAACTATATATGAGCCACTTATTAGTGGAACTGCGCTCCCAAGTAAGCACTATAGTATTCAAGACCACCAATGTGTGAACAATACGGGCATCAAAATTGTATACATCCAATACTAAACCAGGATTTCTTCGGGGGGGCATTTAATAATATTACGGAGAGGGATTGCTGTAAAAGCGATTTCACCCACTCAAATTTGGAAATGAAACCAACCAACATGATCCCGCATTATAGGGTTTCAACTAATTACCCAGTAAGAATCCCCACCGTGTGTTTTGATGGTTCAAACTCAACCTTTTTAATATTTCAATGCACGTCACGGTGATAATCACCATTTTTTGATTTCAATCCTCTAATTGTTTTTCGAGTTTTCCAAAAAATGGTTATATTACAAAAGGTGTTTTTTTTTTGCATTTTCTTACATGAGTGTGCATTGTAGTATATTTATTTAGTTATTTATCTATATGTAAATCTTCATAGCTACATGCACATACCCTCTGGCAATTTATACCCTCCGGATATAGTGAAACTAAAACAGTGAGTTGATGTCGATGCCCTTCATAAGAACTTTTCTTGTTGTTCTACAGCAACTTCGCGCTACGTAACATATATATATATATTACATGATGCTACGTCAGAAGATTTTTTTTGAGTTGATGCTATGTTGTAAAAGCTTCGATTTTAGCCTTACTACAATCTCAAGCTACCTTTTGTATATATCATACACATATATATATATATATATTGCTTCTTGGTACGTCATAAGAGCTTCTTTGCATTTTCATCACCATGCATTGTCATGTGTATGTGTATTTGTATGTGTCTAACCGGATGCTACCGCATGATACTTGCTTTGGCACTGCTACCTCATCTTCATGTTCCTTGATAACTTGTTTTTTTCATTACATTCTTACATTCCTTTGGAAAGAGGCTCAGTTGCCGAGCAAACCGTCCCGGTCATCAACGTCTTGGCATTGTGGTACTGGCATTGGGTTCACCACAAAAAAAACATGAGTCATCCCCATCTAGTAACATGTAGTATCCCATTACATACCACTATGTTCCCCATAATACAACATGTAATGTAATGATTGCAATATAATGGAATATCATAGGGATATCCTTATATTACCCCGTTGAGTTATCATATGATATTCCACTCAGTATTTTCCATTATATATGTTAGGACATGCTCATAATATTGTAAATGTATTCTTGTATGTATATATATATATGATTACAATTCCTTATATAATATTTTAATCGTATTTTGACTATTTTTAAAAAATATTCCCATATAATGATACTTTTTCCCCACATTGACGTGTGGGTTTTTTGTTTTTAGTGCTGTATCCGCTCCTTCCTTCTTCTCCTCCTCCCGCCTGTCCTCCCAAAAAATCCTCCCACACACACACACACATCACTCACTCAGTCACTCACTCACATACACACATCACTCACACTCACACTCACACTTACCTCACACACTCACATCACTCGCCATCACACACACACATACCTCACTCACACACATTACTCACACACACACACACGCAAACACTCACTCACTCACTCACTCACTCACACACACACGCAAACACTCACACACACGCAAACACTCACTCACACGCAAACACTCACTCACTCACTCACTCCCTCCCTCCCTCCCTCCCTCCCTCCCTCACACACACATCACTTACACACACATCACTCACACACACACACATCACTCACACACACATCACTCACTCACACGCACACACATCACTCACACACATCACTCACACACACACACATCACTCACACACACACACATCACTCACACACACACATCACTGCGTGGCAGGCGTGGGACAATGTGCACTGCCAAGGGGTCGGATGTACGCCCTCCCTTGGTCTCTGCCGCTCTGCCGGTGGCTTTTGCGTGGCAGGCGTGGGCGTAAGCATATCACCATTTGACCATGTATACACACGCACAACCACGCACTCACGTACACATACATATATGTACACAGACACACACAACATGAACACAGCACATGTACATCATCACAGCATCACATACCAAAACATCACTTGACGCGTCATATCTTCACGTCACATGCATCAAAATCAGTATATTTACGTGTGTATACATTTACATTACTACCACCCAACCTCGCATCACACGAAAATAATATCACCTCACACACACACACATACACATACGTATAACATCACATACACCCGGTACACATATCGTTAAACACACTACCAAAGTGACACACCTGTACATGCACATACATACATACATACATACGTACATACATACATACATACGTACATCCATGCATGCATGCATGCATGCATACATGCCTACATGCCTACATGCCTACATGCCTACATGCCTACATGCCTACATGCCTACATGCATACATGCATACATTGCATACATTGCATACATTGCATACATTGCATACATTACATACATAACATACATTACATACATTACATACATTACATACATTACATACATTACATACATAACATACATAACATACATTACATACATTACATACATTACATACATTAAATACATTACATACATTACATACATTACATACATTACATACATTACATACATTACATACATTACATACATTACATACATTACATACATTACATACATTACATACATTACATACCTTACATACATTACATACATTACATACATTACATACATTACATACATTACATACATTACATACATTACATACATTACATGACATTACATGACATTACATTACATGACATTACATGACAAGACATGACATTACATTACATACATACATACATCCATGCATGCATGCATACATACAGACATACAGACATACAAACAGACAGACATACATACATTACATACATACATACAGACATACATACATACATTACATTACATTACATTACATTACAAAACATTACATTACATTACATTACATACATACATACATCCATCCATGCCTGCATGCATGCATGCATGCATTACATACATTACATACATTACATACATTACATACATTACATACATTACATACATTACATACATTACATACATTACATACACTACATACATTACATACATTACATACATTACATACATTACATACATTACATACATCACATACATCACATACATTACATACATTACATACATTACATACATTACATACATTACATACATACATACATACATACATACATACATACATACATGCATGCATGCATGCATGCATGCATACAGACATACAGACATACAGACATACAGACATACAAACATGCAGACATACAGACATACAGACATACAGACATACAGACATACAAACAGACAGACAGACATACAGACATACAAACATACAGACATACAGACATACAGACATACAGACATACATACATACATACACACAAACTCACCCACCATCACCCCTCCATCACTCTCATACTTCCTGTTCCCCGGTTGCTTTTCTGTGCTCAGTCTAAGTCTGGAGAAGTTGTTAGCATGTGGGGTTATCCGGTCCTATAATTTATATATTTATATCAATTTATATCATGTATTCCCATACTATCCCCCTTGCACCCCCTTGGACCCCTCAAACCTTGAGTTTCGCTTCTTGCACCTCGGCCGAGGGATCCGAACCTGAATTCTGGCGCGTAACCACCGATGGGAAACATGGGAAAATAGGGATATGGGTGGGACATTCATGGGGATGAATATGTCCATTAATGTGAAAAACAAAAACATGACAAATAGGACTATTTCATGGGATATTAGTGAAACATTCATGGTTATTACTGGAGAAAATTATACAACATTAATAGACATACCTGGAATGCTCACGGTATATTTATGCAATATCAATGGTATATCGGTATATTAATAGGAAATTGATGGGGACATAATAATTACTGGGATATTGATAGGATAATAATTGGGTACGCTGTATCACCAATTCGTGATGAGATATAGGAAATGTATGGGATATATGGGTAGAGGTAAACTTGTTTAATTAATATGATTTACAAACTTAAAAGATTGGATTTTCATGGGATATCCATGGCGACATAATTTATGGGATGTGTATATATAACATATCTACAGAGGTTGTAGATTTATTCATAACCAATTTCAGATCCTATTTGGGTGTGATTGAAAATAGGGCATAGCCCCAAAAATTGTCACTTTAATTGGGAAGCGGGAAAGTGATGATAATATGTTGGTAATGGAGGTACCCTGATTTCAATCAGACCTGTCAATCAAGGGAAAAACATATTGTCGTTTCCAGAAACAGCGGAGGGGTACCCTGAACAACAATGATGGTGGTTCACTACTGAAATAAGACATGAATGTTTGGATGATTTTGGGCACCCTTATTTTAGGAAACCCCTAAATAGGAAAAGGGCGCTACAATTAAAAAAAACAGCGAATGTTGACCGACCCACAAAGTTCAGTATACGAGTTAATCACAATGAACCAAGGCAATTCGGGAAGTCAACCAAAACCAATGATGGACCAATTTGCACATATGAATACGTATGAGGGTTTATTGAAATCCTTACCTTCGATAGATAGGAAAAGTATCTACACATCGGGTAAAACACTTTGCAAAAGGGTAACCTGCCAGGCCCCTTCAGCAAACTAAAAAAGCGGGGGACCATGATATTCCATCGATGGATCAGAATTGACTGGTGAAGCAATGGTTCACCAAAGTGTCCTCAGTATAAAGATAGGTTTGTCTGAAAATAGGGTATATTCCCAATTATAGCCATTTAATAGGGGTAATGATCATTAACCATTGGGTGTAGGGGTACACTATTTTCAGACACACCCAGATAGACTTATGGCTCTCGCATCAGAACTTGACTAAGCTGTCGAGGTTGTCTTTGAAACTGCACATGATCAAACTACTGATCTGGAGACAGTTGTCCAAACATTGTCTATATATACTGCACAATTCCACCAACAATCAATGGCACATATCCCATGCAATTCCACAGCAATTTATTCTGCATGTTCATGTCAAAAAAAGGAACACATAGGCATGTGTTAAACTTATGAATTTGAGACCCGCAAACCCGGACCATGCTTTGCATTGAACCACCATGAATCAACTATTAACTATGTCAACTATCTTGTGGTTGGGTAACCAAACCTCGATGATTGGTGGTTGTATCATGATCCTCGTCGCTTATACTGCATTTGGTGCTGGTTCTCTATCCTGCCTCATGAGATCAACATGTACATGTAAATGCACTTTTTTAGGATTGAAACGCTGGCCAGAAGCAAGTTTTCTGGTTGAATACCAAAAACCTACAGTGAATCCACACATGTGTTTCTTTACAAGTTACTGCAACTCACTTTTTTTGCTGTGCTAAATTCCATTTCTCTACTAGGTTACTAGGCTAAATACCACTTATATACTGATTGTACTGGAAATGAGCTCCCCATTTTTGTTGCTGAAGTCACCACTTTTGCTGGTTTCATGTTCTATTCGTCTTGGTAAAATGATGTAAACATCCATATTTTGCTGGTTCTACACAGCCTCATTTCTGTTGTTTTGAGCCTAATTGCTGGATTGTGTGCTCACCATTTCCGATGTGATGAAACATATTATAATAATTAATCATATTTGTTTTTATGATTGCGAGAATTTGTTTAGGCACTTGCACAAGTGGAGTTGCCAAAACGACAAGCCGCCTGATAGTGAAGCAACATGCCAGCGTGTACGTCGTTATGTGCGTGTGGTAGAACATGTCCACGCAAGCATAGCTCGCAGCTCTGCCAGATCTCTTCGCATTTGACTCCCGGGCGATAGCAGCGCTGACCATCTCGATAGCATGTTCATCGGTGCAAAGATCATCGTTCTGTTGGTGATATTTACATATATAATTAAACTATAATATATATATATATCTTTATATGATTATAGATCATTTCATATAGATATATGTATCTATCCACCACCAAACAAAAAAAAACATCTGCTGGTGATATCCCAAGTGGGTTTGTCTCAAAATGGGGTACCTCTGAATCTGCTGAGTGGATCATTCGGGGCTACACCCCATTCAAAAACACACCGAAAGATCGTATCAAATATCAAATCCCAATATGAACCTGATGTCAACATCAATATTCCATTAAGCTCCCACTAATATCATGTTTTCAAGTTTGTTTCCATTTATATCCCACACATCGCCGCATGTGGGTGACACCCAAACAAATCCCTATTGTATGATGTGCCATGGTCAAAGCAAGGTAGATGGTTGTGGTTAGGGATTCCTTATTATGGGTATTTAAATCGCTATGAATGGATTAGATGACCATCCACCATGTGTTTTTCGTGTATAATCAATGTTTCGACTATGGCCCATGGCTCGAATATGTACAGGATATTATATATATATTCACCATGATACCACCATTTTATCGCCATGTTATACCAAGTATACTACCTTGTTTGACGGTTAAATCACTAATCTTTTGAACACAAATTCTATAATGTATATTCCAATTCTGATTGTAGTTGGTTGTATATATTGTATATCCCACTGTGTCCATAGTTATTCTTGGATTTTCATTGTGTCCCATTATCCATTGTAGATTATATTGTATATACCGTTCCATTATTTGTTATGCTAGTATTGGTTATATATTGTAGTTGTCAGTATAAATCTCATTCCATTGAACCATTAATTATATAGTTTAGATATTTTTTTTAAAAAAAAAATATTGGTTGGCTTATCATCGTTCGCAATACATTGCTTATACATCTATATAATTATATACATATATATAGATATGGATAAATGATATATAATATTCACTAACCTGAATAGTTCGGCCATTTGGGGATGATTTCACCAGATAAATCCAGAAAATCTGCCTCAAAAAGGGGGCCCTTTATAGGCCGTCGCCAGTCTGCTATGGTCACCCGGAACCTCCGATCCCCGCCTATCGTGAGGCCGCCGCCAGCCTTGACCACCGCGCGCCAGGACGAATCCTGGTCACCAGGACTGTCCCGGCATGGCGTGACAGGACGCCCGGTGGAACAAAACATGTGAGCCACAGCCGGAGATTTTTTGGGGAAAAACCATGGAAATTTGTACTGTAAATGGATGGGATGGCAAAAACACATGGCAATTTGAGACCATGAAAGGATGTGATGGGAAACCCATGGAGATTTTCGGTTAATGGATGGGAAACACATGGAGATTTTGGGGGAAAACGATGGAAGAACAATGGGAAAAAGTCACATGGACAGTTGGGAAAAGATTGGAAATCGGGACTGATGTTCGCTACTGGCATGCCACATCACAACTCCAAGATTTGGCATCCTGTGTGGAGAAACTCTACAGTGTACTACAGTCTCTTCATTACAACATTCTGCATCAGCATCAGTCAAATAAATCAGCATCAGTCACAGAAACTCTACAGTGTGCTACAGTCACATAATAGGCGGATTATTCAAGTTGTGGGACAAACTGATTGTCCTTAGCCCCGCTTCTGCTGGTTGTCAGTGGCTGCTTCTCCAGGTCATGTTGTTTTGTCTTCCTTTGGGAAACACTCAGCTGCTAGCAACATTGACATTATTGTCGCATGTTTGCCAATAAGTACATCATGCCCATATCTACAATAACATACTGTACATGTTACATGCATGTATATTGTTTCCGCCTTTGTATATATAATATATCTACAGTAAACATACACCGTGTTGTCCTTAAAGTACAGTATCTCTGAAAACAAAACATTATATAATACTGTTATGTATCAGGAAGAAAGACATTTAAATAATCTTAGCATCACTCATTGAACAAACACTCCTAGCCCCAATCCAATTCTATCAGCATGGTATCATCAAATCCCGTTAAATCCCATTGTCCATTCAGTCCTGGTTGGTGGTATACCTACCCCTCTGAAAAATATGAGTTCGTCAATTCGGATCATTATTCCCAATATATGGAAAGTCATAAAAAAAAACATGGTTCCAAACCACTAAGCAACTATAAATGGCCATGTTCAATAGCTATGTTTGTTTACCAGAGGGTAAATCCCATTGTCCATTCAATCCCAAGAAGTTCAAATAAGATTAACATTACATGGATTGAATGGATTAAGATTAACATTAAATGGTAATTTTCTGGTAATCTTATGGCAATCCATCAGCCATAAGATTTTCACATTTTCTATGGATTGCCATAAGATTTGATGATTTTTCACGGTGATTCCCATCTCGTCCATTTGATGATCCCATTGGGATCCCAACACGTTCTCCACGCCTGGGCTTCGGCCTCCAAGGTGCGAATGAGGATGTTCCACTGGCCATCCCCAGTGAAGAGATCCGCGAAGCCCAAACTGCCTAAGCTTGGGCTTAAGGGACGCGTTAAGGGCAGAGATAAAACTCCTGAAAGATGGGTCATGAATCATGATCAATGGGTGTTTTACTATTGTTGATCCCAACAAAATGCCATTTCATATATGATTTAGCCATTAAAACAGTGGATTTCATGGGATATTCAGGGACACGTTAATTAGAACACCTTATTGAAATCAATCATGTCCAACGAATTACATCCAATATCACTAAATATCATGCAATTGTTGTCCATTTTTCATGGTTATATAATGGTTATATAATGGTTATATAATGGTTATATAATGGTTATATAATGGTTATATAATGGTTATATAATGGTTATATAATGGTTATATAATGGATAATGGTTATGAATCATTATAAATCTCCATTGTTTCATGATCCCTGCGAATGTGCTCAACCGAGGCGCCGGTCCAACAGCGCCGCGGTTCTTTCTCCAAGGCGTCGATGGCGGCGATGGTGGCGGTCTTGGGACAGCCCGTGATGGATCCTGTCGAAAAATCTCTGGGGAGTTGATCAACAAATGGGGAGGATTGTCGCTTGACACAAATGAGGATTTTACCACGAAGCCAGAAAACAATAAGAAAAAAGGTGGATTTCACCAAGTGGAGATTGGAATTTAGCATTTGAGCATCGAAATTGGGAGGCTTCGCATCGAAGAAAAACATGAGGACTTAACCATCAAAACCAGGAATTTCACCACAAATTCGGAGTTAAGCACCAGAAAAATTGACATTTTTCAGTGGGATTGAAGCATCAACATTGGTATGTTGAACATGAGGAAGCTTAGAGGATTTTGGGGGGATTTGACCCACAAAACAATGCATTCCAGCCACCTGTTGGATAGGTCGAATGAGGCTTTCAACTGGGCCACAGAAACCTGTCAGTGAAGTATTTTTTGCCACAGGAAAGGCTGATTTCAGGATCTGAAACCTGGCCAAACGCCCGTGTATACATGGGCATTTCCCGCAGGAAACTTGGAGAGTTCCTGCCATGGGAGATGGCAATGTAGAACCTCGGTAAATAGCTTTGGTGGCAGCTGGGACATAGAATATACCAGCATTACCGCACCGAAATAAGATAGGCCGTACTAGTAACTACTAGTACTGAAAGTGGGACCCCGTTGGTACAGTCCAGTATTACACATTATCTAAAAAGACGGAATAAGTGCAGAATGGCTGCAATAAATTGCTGAAATACATCAAAAAATCATCAACATACTGTGGATGGAAGAAACCCTGCACCAGTTGGTAGTTGGTTTATCCCATGATAATCCCATTATAGTGCACAGTTTGTAGCCCCTCTAGTGTTGGTTGAATATAGTGATACCCATGATGATGGGTAAATCATCTTCAGGTACTGTATCTTCAAACAGTCTTGTTCAAACCGATTCCTTGTATTCTAAATCTTGCAGTGAATGGTACATCTGTTGTTTTCTCAATCTGGTGATTTCATGTGATTTCACTACATGTTAGCCGGACAAACAATATTAGATAACATTGGCAGAGTCAAGCAAGTCTTTTGTTGGTGACACGCCGAACGTATATTGTTTGTATATATATATATATACTATAACTCCTTTTTATAAAACACACACCACATTATATATATATATACATGTAATATATATATATATATACATACATTAGCCCTTTTCCAAATAGTCTTAAACACAGATGAATTGTCCAAACACCAGAGACTGCTAAATCTCCAAAACCCTCCAACATAGACACTATGTTTGTCCCATCCTGGAACATAGACCATAGAAGCGGGTGTGCATCCCGTAATAACTGGTTGTACTGGATTGAATTATGATTATCAGCCACTTACGAAACGCTGGATGCGCATTCCAAGTCCTTAACCTGTTACGAAACACAGGTGGGTACGTGATTCCCCCCAATCTCGATCATATTGGCTGCTTAAATCCAAACATGTTTGTTCGCTGGTCAAATAATCGTTTATGGGTTGGTTGCTTCATCTGCTGTGTTGATTTTATATGCACATATATGAATACATACGTACGTATGTAAATATATTTCGTGTATGTATATACATTTATATTTATATTTAAATACTGTGTATATATATATAATGTATATTTACATTATTATGATATAGTTGTATTATACAGATAATTCCACTTATACATGTATATACATACATAAAATAGTAATATTGCATAACCACACCTCATATTTATAGTACCAGCCCACACCCTCAAGTCTTGATCACTCCTCCAGGGAAGACGGCCTCCAGTGCTGCCCACACGTCGCTGGAGGGGCACAAGCGCCCAGTCACCTGGCACCGTCACTGTAAGGATCTGATTATGGTTGATGCTGTTTGCACAAATTGATATTAACATATTTTAACCACTTATCATGACAAACAAAATTGCGGTGATTTATAATTGATACATCATTATATATATATATGATGGGATAATTATTTTGCAATTATTGATGAGAAGCGCTTAATTTCGCGACTGTTTATAGATGACATTAAATTGTGGATCCCTCATTGCTTCCAAAAATAGATCATCTTATCATCTTTCAATACAAAGGAAACTGTGATTAACCAGTGATTAACCCGTGGATTTCGGGCTACCTTGCTGTTGGACCAACCCACCAATCATCCATGATAAACACCCAACAAAAGGGAAATCACCAAGTTTTGCTGAGAAATCCCACACTTTCCTTGGGGTACAAAAATAATATACATATATATATATATACATATATAATTATATATATATATAATTATATTTATATATGTATAAATTGATACATTTTATATCATTTGATTGCACCCGGTACGGCCCGGTACTGGATCATTTGGACGTGTCGTCTCAGATTGCCGGAGGGTGAAGATCATTCCCTTCCCAATATCAATCATCCCGCAGAAACCGTGGCTTTGGTAGGGGATTTACACATATTTGGGACCCACTATACGGGGTTATCCATGGTTATCCTCTAAGTTTGTTGATGGCATCAAATTCATCTATGTCTTGATGTTTCTTGGAATGTTTGATACTTCTGAAAGATTAAGCGAACGTGGCTGGACGTGCAGTCGGTACTTATTAACATTGGCTTTGGTCATTCATCTGGAGCCAACTGTCAGGCTTGATCTACCCCCTGATGACACAGAAATCTTTTGCGTACAGATGTTCCAATATGTTCCAATCATTCCAATCCCATGACGGATAATGGGAATGTTACAAACATCAATTTCCAACAGCAGCACTTCGGCAAGTTCCACTGAGTTCCATTGTCCCACAATGCTGGAAATTCGACGCTCCGGCGATGGCCAAGACTTTCAACTGGTTGGTGGTATACCTACCCCTCTGAAAAATATGAAAGTCAGTTGGGATGATTATTCCCAATATATGGAAAAATAATAAATGTTCCAAACCACCAATCAGTTCAAGGTACAATCCAGGAATCAAAGCTGGAAAAAACATCCGCTTGTTTTTCCTTGGCCAAGAAAACATTAATATGATAATCCATAAACAAGAATTTCTATGACATACTATGACTACACTACACATGAGAAAATATGTTCAAGATAAACTATGACTATGAATCAACTATGACATTTTATGACCACTGTGATCACATTACATCACAGTTGATATAATGTCTGAATAATGTGTATTTCTATACATTATAGTGTTTAAAGTGATCAGTGATATGTAGATATATATATATATGTATATATATATGTACATATATATATATGTATATATATACATCATCATTTATATATAACATTACATCAGGAAACATCATGTTTTTAATGTTTCTATCACCAAGCGCCACGCCGCGCCTTGCTCACCATGTGCTGAATGTTGGGAAAGGCTTCCACTCTCCATCGATCCCAGGCAACAGAGGAGGGACACGACGCAACGCCTCGAGGGGCTCCATGTTTAACATATCTATAGCTTATTGAATGCTTATTGTAGGTAACTATGGGATTATTATGGGATTATCATGGCTTATTATAACAGTTATGGGTTATGATTATCAGAACAGTTACTAATTACTGTTATGATTGCTGCTTATATGAAGCATCTATGGCTTATTGCGGCTTATTGATCCACAATTGATTTGGGTTCTTGATGGATATTGCAACAAATGATCAATGATCAATAATTGGCAATCAGTGAGAAGAAATCTGGTCCTAAACATGAACCGCCAGGAGACTTTTGGGTTCTGTTAGCTTTTGGCTTCTGTCTTTGGCATGTACCCCCATGCCAGGGTGTCTGTTACACATCGGGGTTGGAGGCCAGAACATTGGGATGTGGTTCATCGAAAAGGTTTGGCCGATCCCAAATGTCAAATGATGACATATGGATACTGACCCCAGGTTCCATAGCTACGCAATTCGGTCAACCCCTGACACAGGCTCGCTACGTGAAAGCTTGCTGTTTGAGCCTACATGTACTTCATGGGCGCACCCCGAAGACGGTGACCTGCATATGGGGTTGTCATCATAGAACCAGACCATAGCATGGCCCTGCATGATTCCTTCGGCAATGCCCGCGTCATAGGAATCAGCCCTTAGAGGAGCAGAACCCGCGCCCCGGTCTCTCTGAGTACGATAGGCAATAGCCCAGCTCACCACTTCTTCAGCAACCACTGGCTTCTTCTTAAGCATACACTATGGGATTATTATTGCTTATTATAACAGTTATGGGTTATGATAATCATAAAGGTTGTTAATTACTCTTATGATTGCTGCTTATATGACACATCTATGGCTTATTGCGGCTTATTGATCCACAATTGATTTGGGTTCTTGATGGATATTGTAACAAATGATCAATGATCAATAACTGGCAATCAGTGAGAAGAAATCTGGTCCTAAACATGAACCAACAGGAGACTTTTGGGTTCTGTTAGCTTCTGCCCAAGAAAACCTGTTGGCATCACGTTTTCCTAATCCATTCCATTGTATCCCCATGATATGCTTTATTATATTCCCATTCTATCCTCATTGTGTTGTATTTATATCCCGATGACACCACCATGTTTTAATTATTGGGGATATACTGGGAATATAACGGGAATATAAGCGGAATAACTCATACTTATAATCATTAGATACTTATATTTCCATATATTTCCATCATATCCCGATTAAACCAGCATCCCATTGATCACCAGGGCCTAAGTCATGTCGTTGCAAGTCTACCAGCATCATATGCTCTGCCACCTGCGTGTCCAGGGAAGATTCGAACAGAGGTACCCCAAATTATCCAAACCACACTCCTATTGTAGCATTTAAACAACTATTGTTGATCATTGTTGTCTACAAAACACCACATTTCTGGAAATACAAATCATTGATTCCCTTGATTGATATCGTTTGTCTGAAGGGTACAACGGATTATCAGGGTTTTCCTGTGCAAAGGGAATGGACAAATGATTACATCACATCATGGGACAAAAATACAGCAACATTGACACACACACACAATACACATGATATTTCTTGGGTCAAGCTGATGCAAATGGGTCAAGACCAACAAGTGTCAATCTGATTGAAGGAACAAACATCCATGTGCACAAGCGGTTGTGATGAGAACAACAAGGGTACACTGGCTTGATGTGTAGCGGCATCCTTTCAAGAGGAACATCAATTATAAAATTATAACACTCAAACAAGCCCAATAAATTCAAATGAAAACCACATGATCAGAACCCAAAAAGCCGGGTGTATCTTTCAGATCAGATAAAAAGTTGTATTTGCCATGTAAAAGCATAAATATGGTGGATTGTCTGAAAATGTTGTGTACCCCTTTTTACCCAATGGTTTTGCTGATCATTATCCCAATTATAAATGGCTATTTCATTGGGAAGATTAACCCAACATTTCCAGACAAACCCGGTGGATTGTCACGTTTCCTCAATGGGACCATCATCTTTCTTCGGCCACAGTATTGCTGGATTGACCCACCAAGCCCAACTGCCATGGAAACACGGTTCATCAGTACATGTATAACGATAATATATATATATATATGTATATATATATATATATGTACAAATCAAGATATACAATACATTACACCACATCACATCGCGTGGCATTGCATTGCACTGCATTTTTACATTACATACATAGTATTAAAATAAACACCACACATATATATATATAATATTATAATGTTTATCTATAAACATGTACACATTGTGTATACTATATACATATATAATCATATATATAGACAAGCACAGTAGCCACTTGGTCGCGAAGGTGCCGATGTGCCATGCGCGCGCTCTTAGAACGCACTGCGTGGCCATTCTGACCGCGAGTCCAGCTGGGCTCTCTTCAGATCCAATGGATCAATTTACACAGATAAAATCACTATAATGATCTAATATTATCCAGTCATCCACCATTTATGTTAAATATATCATATATATATACATATCTAATATCATCTAATAATAAATACATATTATGTGTATATATATATATATACATACATACATACACGTGTATACATATATATATTATATATATATACACGCTCTGGTAAACTAACATAGCTATTGAAAATTGCCATTTATAGTTGATTTACCCATTAAAAATGGTGATGTTCCATAGTTATGTCAGTTTACCAGAAGGTAAATGGCAGTGTGTCAAAACCAAGTACCCCTGGTGAACATCAAAATAGCTGGTAAATGGATGTTCATCCCACTAAAAATGGTATTAATAGGTATTGACCCATACCCAAATCACCTTTCCATCTGCGCCTCCTTCTGTGATGCCACCATCTCTTGTCGCAGCTGCAGGTCCTCCCTGGCATCTTTGGAGCGAGCGCAGGTGCCTCCCACGGAGTTTCTGCAAGACATAGGGGGGATTCATGAGGGATGTCGATGTAATATGTATATATATATATTATATTAGTATATAGATATATATATATATAGTAAGCATGGTTATATAGTATATAAATATATAGTGTGTGTGTATATATACATATATAAGGTTCTATATTTAATTGCATTTTTTTCAATAGTATATGTTGCTTTATGGATGCATCTACGTATATGACCGGTGATAAGCATGTTGTGTAGTTGACTATGTGTATGCTGTATTTATGTAAGTATGTGAGGGATATAATGATATAATGGGAATGTATACCTGCAATAGGGCCGAAATAGATGAGCTCTACATATAGTTTCTGGGGGTTTGTACCTAATAGGGATTGTGGGGATATTGGTGGGGCTCGGGTTTGGTGTAAACCAACCATACTTGGCAGTGGAGGGAATATGATACAATGCTTGGATGGCTTGGATGGTTTTCCTGAAGTATCTGTGCCAGTTTCTGTCCGGATCATCACAGGACAACGGCCGGGAAACCCAACAGAAAACTTGGGGACGTTTTTGGTCGCAGGTTGCAGTCTCTAATAATCAAATCAGAAAGGAGATGAAAGGTCGATCTCGCCGGGATCTACATTTTTCTGGCTGAAGTGGGATGGTATTGTTGTGGAACAGCAAGAAGTAGGGCGTCCCATCAACAGTTCAAATGGACAACATCTCACCCAGGTGACGCCAGCAGCTTACGTGTGAAGACAAATTGCCCACTGCGCGATGTTTGGCCTACACTACCCATCTCAAATAATTACATTGGATCTGTAATGATCTGGAAAAATTATGATAATTTACCAACCTGATTTAAAAGACTCTAAAAGCAATTTGGGATACTTACTTCTACTAAGCATCTTTCCATTGTTTCCATGTCAAGGCTTTTACTGGTGAATGGCGAAGCCATTGAGGGAAAATTCAAAAAATCATCCCTAGTCTGAGGACAAGAGCCCCGCAGGTGAACGCATTGTCACAACGACTGTCCAGCAACAACGACCGTAATGACCGCAATCTCCCCAAGCTGGCATGATGCCATTTAGGTTGAGCTGAAAGCAGTATCCCCATCTTTGGTATTTATATAGATAAATCGTTGTAAATCATAGCAAGTCATCTTTCAATTCCAATTGTTGACCTTGAATTTAAGTTCATTTCAACTCATAAAGTCAGTCATTGTCAATCAAATAATAAAAAACATCCACTGTTTGTTAAACCTATGTATTCCCGTTCCCATCCCTCCGTCCTGTCATGGCCAATCTCATATACTCTGACTTAGCAAAAAAAAAATAATGTTTATAATATATATATATATATGTATATATAACTATATAGATATATATAGTATGTAGAGAGTGTGTGTGTGTGTATGGTTGGTTAGTACATATCCGCATCAACATCGCAAATAAGTGGTGCAAAACGAAGTTCCCGTGCTGTAGCCCATCTCTCATTAGACCCAGTGGGTCTCATCTGTTCACTTTTTCAGCCCGCCTTTAATGGGACATGTCGACAACGATCCGTGCTGCACCGACAGCAGCAACTCCGGGGAGCAGCTGCACAGTGCGGAGCTGAGACCATCGACCTCTGGAGGAGCGTAGAACGGACCAAAAATTATTGGCAAAGTTATTAACTACCAATAATTAATTGGGTTGTTATAGTATTAGTATCACAAATAATTATTATGATATTAGTTGTTATAGGTATCACCAAAAAATATTATTGGTTAATACTATCACTATAATTGGGTTGTCCAAAAATAAGCAAACAAGTTGGGTATACAAACGTATATAGCAACCATTTCTGGCCACACTGTAAGGGATTTGAAGTCAACCCCAAAGTATGCGGGTAGGCTATCAAAGGAAAGAAACAAAATCCGGATGATTTACAATTAATCCCAAATCTCATTCAGTGCTTTTTGGATAGTGCCCCAAAATACTGCATTCACGATCATTGTTTGGGCAGCGATGATCACCGCTTAGTCACCGTCATCATATCCAGTGACGTCTTAAGCTTGTGAACCCCAAAGCTGGAGACTATAGCCATAGACACATGAAGGGAAAATCCGTCGGTTACTATATGGTTTTCACCTAACAGTAACCAAAACCACCTCAACCAATTAAGTTTCTACGTACTGCCGTACTGCAGGAAGACACATTATTTCTAACATGTTATGAGAAAACTACTGCAAAACAAACGTGGACATATCATTCAACTTTGTTTTCATTTACAGGTTTCTTCCGGCAATCAATTTCCATCTGTGCTCAGTGATCCACGCCTGCAGCTGCAAAAAACCCGAGTAGGGCGCCGCATTGTGCTTAAACAGTTTCCTGGGACAAAAAACAATGACCGACAGAAACACTATGTGGATTGAAATTCAAGATTTGATACATGCATACGCTTCAATCATGTTCAGCCTGTGCAATTGGAGTCAAACCCCAACAGCATAAACTTTGCTGGTGAATGGATCATTTGCTGTTTTTCATGGACCATCCTTTGAGATAGTACCAGTACCATAGCTATTGGTCCATTTCCTATATCTCAGCCCAGCCCATGGTGTTACCATCCGACTGTGTGATCTCGTGGAACTCGAAGGATGGGCACATCGTGGCACCATGGTCAAAACAATATATGGTCAACCAATCCTGGAATGTACTGTCGTATCATGGGTATGTATGTCATGGTAATATCAAAGGTACATAACCAACTATATGATATTAATATGATATTAATGATGATATATGGTTTATGGTCCAGCTCCTAATCTTGGTCGCCACCCAAAAAAGAACTGACAGAGTGACTCTTAATAGCTATTATATATAATTTATAGAACCAAAAACTATAGTTGAGATAGAACTACTTATATATAATATATATATTATACGTAAAATAAATCTGCTTAACTATAGTAGTAGTTCACTATTATAAACTGTTCACTATATAAGTAATATAACTAATGGAATATATAAGTATTAGCTATAAGTATTATAAACTGTTCACTATAATTATAAAACTGAACCAGTTAGTTGTAATCAACCATTAACTAATAGTGATAGATTGCACTTAAGAGTCACTGCAACTTGGCTATTGTTTGGCTGATACAACTAACGGTGACGTCGTCGTGTCAAGGAACTGCATCAGTTGCCAAGGACTTTCTCGCATCTCACCTGCAAGGGCGCAACAGTGGACTGATCAAAGTGCTGATACTTAGCAGAGAAAGTTGAACATCATATCCACATATAACATATATCTATATATACATATATAAAGTAAACAATAAGTATATAATTAATAAACATATAATAAGTATAGTACAATGCACTATAATATAATACTACAATATACTGCAATACATTACAATATACAAATAATAGTTATATTAATAGAATAATATGGGCATGATATTCTCATATGTGGCGCAATGTATGTATATAGTATGTGCATCATATCCCCAGATATTCCTCACGGCGAAGCATGGAAAGCCTGTCAAGCTATACAATGATTGAAGTCATGATTCTGATCAAAAGAAAACATGTCCTGTGGTCCTTTGTATACACTTCACGGATAACAAACGTTCCTCTTAAATAGTGAGAATCTCATAGAATCTCAACTTTCATTTTTTTCATGGTTAGTTAATGTTAGTTAAAACAGAACATCGATGTGCACGACCCCCAGATACCCCAACAATGGCCCAACTATAACAGCCGCCATCGCCAGGACTGGCCCAGCCTTGCCAGGACCGGCCAAAGTTCAGCTGATAAAACTGCCCATCACGGATGGCATCCTGTGTCTAAAAGGGAGCGGCGTGCGATGACATCAATAGCAAAGTTCAAGAATCAACAACATACTGACTTTGGAGGTCGTGTGCCCACACTGAAAAAATGCACAATAATCCCCTAGCCACTTTTAGAGTTTGCAATTGTGGCTTTGTCCGAAAAAGGTGGCCATGTTTCACCAGAAGCCATACCTGAAACACACCTGGAGATTGGTTCACCACGTCTGCCTTTGGACATCCCCTAGAAAAAAAACCCGGGCGTTCGTAGATCTCACCGCGGCCTCGTCTCAAGAGGTTTGGATCTGTGATTTGCATTACCAGTTTTGCAACAGTATGTAATCATGACATCCTGAACATTCTTGGTTATTGTACAGTCCGTTAAACAAATGTACGGTTTAATCTCATTAGGGCTTAATTGCATTATGAACTCATCATTCAATGATAGATTGTTTGTAGTTTGTCCCCCGACAGCACCGCAACTGATGGTTTCGGCCGACCTGAAAGATATTTGTCAGTTGAGGATGGTTATATCAGGGATGGACATCTGCAAAATGATACCAGCAACCTCTTCATATCATGGTTTTGGATAAAACAAAAAGTACATTTTTTTAATCCAATGATATCCCATGGGTCTCCATGATTAAATCCCCATGTTCTCCTGCACTTGCTTCACAGCATCGATGTGAGTTTCATCATCGATGCCTTGTTGGAGCAACAGTGGGGAATGTGTTTGCAAAAACCAGTGGATGTGGGGTATCGGTATATGGGTATATTAGTATATTATCTTATATCTTATTGCATTGACATTGACATTACATGACATTACAAGATGATGGAACATTATATTTACATTTGACCAATGCAAGAACCATTTTGACCAGCAGTACTGGAACGGACGCTTGTGTTTCCAACATCAGCTGGTCATGCTGGTGGTAGGATTTCCAGGCAAAACGCCTAAGGCCTAAGCCTTGAGGTACAGCTTTCCAACCGCTCCACAAAATCTGCTGCAAAAGTCGTCCATGTCTAAAGGTTCCAAGTCACGATGCACTAGCAATTGAGGTCGCAAGGCCAGCATGCTGGATTCATTGGTCAATGATTGTACCTCCGTGTGTAAACCTATGTAAACCTGGCCTTTGCTTCTGTTGCACCCCATCGACCCCGTTGCCACCAAAAACTAAGTGTGCTGCTGCTGGTGTAGCAAGCCTCACTGAGTTCGGCGGGGTACCAGAAGATCATTCCCTGGTAAAGACACCTCGATATATCCTACTCCACTCATCACAGACCCAAACAAATCAGGATGTTCTACCAGATTGATGTTAGCATATTAATTAGCCGTCTTAGGGGCTAGCAGCTAGACACCTGTTCAATTGAATCACTCCAAAGGATAACAGGGATCCCGGTAACTTGGGACGGCGAGTCTTAGATACTCAGATATGCCCAGAATTGCACATTGACCGATCAGCCTATTCTCAACAGCTGGTTTTCCTCAAATCCTTGTTGAAGTTCAATTTTTATATTCCCCTAATTGTTATGTGGCAAACTCCATAATATCAACCAGGCAAGGTTTTACCTGAAAATAGGTGGCATAACTTTATACCCTCTCGTAACTTAACATAGCCAATGGCCAAGTTTTTTTTTCTGAACATCACCATTTTTAAGAGGTATTGGAATTCATCTATAAATGGTCCATTTTCCTTATGTTAAATTACCAGAAGGGAAGCCAACATAGCTGCCAGGAAGCCATCTGTGACAGGCTGGGTTCCGTTGCCAGCCTGGCGCCAGCCTGGAAATCCTGGGGTAGCCGATGGACTGGCCGAGTTTTCACAAGATATCAGGGATGTATGGATGAGTTATGGATGATTTATGGATGATTTATGGATGGTTTCTGAATGATTTATGGATGGTTTCTGGACGATTTATGGACGATTTATGGACGATTTATGGACGATTTATGGATGATTTATGGATGATTTATGGATGATTTATGGATGCTTTATGGATGCTTTATGGATGATTTATGGATGGTTTCTGAATGATTTATGGATGGTTTCTGGACGATTTATGGACGATTTATGGATGATTTATGGACGATTTATGGATGGTTTATGGATGCTTTATGGATGGTTTCTGGATGCTTTATGGATGGTTTCTGGATGCTTTATGGATGGTTTCTGAATGATTTATGGATGATTTATGGATGCTTTATGGATGATTTATGGATGATTTATGGGTGGTTTCTGGATGATTTATGGATGGTTTATGGATGGTTTCTGGATGATTTATGGATGCTTTATGGATGATTTATGGATGATTTATGGATGGTTTCTGAATGATTTATGGATGGTTTCTGGATGATTTATGGATGGTTTATGGATGGTTTATGGATGATTTATGGATGGTTTCTGAATGATTTATGGATGGTTTCTGGATGATTTATGGATGGTTTATGGATGGTTTATGGATGGTTTATGGATGGTTTATGGATGGTTTATGAATGGTTTATGGATGGTTTATGGATGGTTTATGGATGGTTTCTGGACGATTTATGGACGATTTATGGACGCTTTATGGGTGATTTATGGATGATTTATGGATGATTTATGGATGGTTTCTGGATGATTTATGGACGATTTATGGACGATTTATGGATGCTTTATGGATGCTTTATGGATGCTTTATGGACGATTTATGGATGATTTATGGATGATTTATGGATTCTTTATGGATGATTTATGGGTGGTTTCTGGATGATTTATGGATGGTTCATGGATGGTTTATGGATGGTTTATGGATGGTTTATGGATGGTTTATGAATGGTTTATGGATGGCTTATGGATGGTTTATGGATGGTTTCTGAATGATTTATGGATGGTTTCTGGACGATTTATGGACGATTTATGGACGATTTATGGATGCTTTATGGATGCTTTAATGGATGATTTATGGATGGTTTCTGAATGATTTATGGATGGTTTCTGGACGATTTATGGACGATTTATGGACGATTTATGGACGATTTATGGATGATTTATGGATGATTTATGGATGATTTATGGATTCCTTATGGATGATTTATGGTTGGTTTCTGGATGATTTATGGATGGTTTATGGATGGTTTATGGATGGTTTATGGATGGTTTATGGATGGTTTATGGACGATTTATGGACGATTTATGGACGATTTATGGATGCTTTATGGATGCTTTATGGATGATTTATGGATGATTTATGGATGGTTTCTGAATGATTTATGGATGGTTTCTGGACGATTTATGGACGATTTATGGATGATTTGTGGATTATTTTTGGATGATTTATGGATGGTTTCTGAATGATTTATGGATGGTTTCTGAATGATTTATGGATGGTTTCTGCACGATTTATGGACGATTTATGGACGATTTATGGATGCTTTATGGATGCTTTATGGATGATTTATGGATTATTTATGTATGGCTTCTGGATGATTTATGGACGATTTATGGACGATTTATGGATGCTTTATGGATGCTTTATGGATGATTTATGGATGGTTTCTGAATGATTTATGGATGGTTTCTGGACGATTTATGGACGATTTATGGACGATTTATGGACGATTTATGGACGATTTATGGACGATATATGGATGGTTTCTGGATGCTTTATGGATGGTTTCTGGATGATTTATGGATGATTTATGGATGCTTTATGGATGATTTATGGATGATTTATGGATGGTTTATGGATGATTTATGGAGGATCTATGGATGGTTTCTGGATGATTTATGGATGGTTTATGGATGATTTCTGGATGATTTATGGATGGTTTATGGATGGTTTATGGATGATTTATGGATGGTTTCTGAATGATTTATGGATGGTTTCTGGATGATTTATGGATGATTTATGGATGATTTATGGATGGTTTCTGAATGATGATTTATGGATGGTTTCTGGATGATTTATGGACGATTTATGGATGCTTTATGGATGCTTTATGGATGATTTCTGGCCGATTTATGGATGGTTTATGGATGCTTTATGGATGATTTATGGATGCTTTATGGACGATTTATGGACGATTTATGGATGATTTATGGACGATTTATGGATGCTTTATGGATGCTTTATGGATGCTTTGTGGGTGGTTTATGGATGATTTATGAATGATTTATGGACGATTTATGGATGATTCATGGATGATTTATGGATGATTCACGGATGGTTTCTGGATGATTTGTGGGTGCTTTATGGATGATTTATGGATGATTTATGGATGCTTTATTGATAATTTATGGATGATTTATGGATGATTTATGGATGCTTTATGGATGATTTATGGATGATTTATGGATGGTTTCTGAATGATTTATGCATGATTTCTGGATGATTTATGGATGCTTTATGGATGATTTATGGATGGTTTCTGGACGATTTATGGACGATTTATGGACGATTTATGGACGATTTATGGATGCTTTATGGATCGTTATGGATGCTTTATGGATGATTTATGGATGATTTATGGATGCTTTGTGGATGGTTTATGGATGATTTATGAATGATTTATGGATGATTCATGGACGATTTATGGATGCTTTATGGATGCTTTATGGATGATTTATGGATGATTTTTGGATGGTTTCTGAATGATTTATGGATGGTTTCTGGATGGTTTCTGGACGATTTATGGACGATTTATGGACGATTTATGGACGATTTATGGATGATTTATGGATGGTTTCTGAATGATTTATGGATGGTTTCTGAATGATTTATGGATGGTTTCTGGACGATTTATGGCCGATTTATGGAAGATTTATGGATGCTTTATGGATGCTTTATGGATGATTAATGGATGGTTTCTGAATGATTTATGGATGGTTTCTGGACGATTTATGGACGATTTATTGCCGATTTATGGAAGATTTATGGATGCTTTATGGATGCTTTATGAATGATTTATGGATGATTTATGGATGGTTTCTGAATGATTTATGGATGGTTTCTGGACGATTTATGGACGATTTATGGACGATTTATGGACGATTTATGGATGATTTTTGGATGGTTTCTGAATGATTTATGGATGGTTTCTGGATCGACGATTTATGAGCGATTTATGAACGATTTATGGACGATTTATGGATGCTTTATGGATGCTTTATGGATGATTTATGGATGGTTTCTGGACGATTTATGGACGATTTATGGATGATTTATGGACGATTTATGGATCCTTTATGGATGATTTATGGATGATTTATGGATGGTTTCTGAATGATTTATGGACGATTTATGGACGATTTATGGACGATTTCTGGACGATCTATGGATGCTTTATGGATGCTTTATGGATGCTTTATGGATGGTTTCTGAATGATTATGGATGGTTTCTGGACGATTTATGGACGATTTATGGACGATTTATGGACGATTTATGGATGCTTTATGGATGCTTTATGGATGATTTATGGATGATTTATGGATGGTTTCTGAATGATTTATGGATGTTTTATGGATGATTTATGGACGATTTATGGACGATTTATGGATGATTTATGGATGCTTTATGGATTGTTTCTGGATGATTTATCGATGGTTTCTGAATGATTTATGGATGGTTTCTGGATGCTTTATGGATGCTTTGTGGATGCTTTGTGGATGGTTTATGGATGATTTATGAATGATTTATGGACGATTTATGGATGATTCATGGATGATTTATGGATGATTCACGGATGGTTTCTGGATGATTTATGGATGCTTTATGGATGATTTATGGATGATTTATGGATGCTTTATGGATTGTTTCTGGATGATTTATGGATGATTTATGGATGCTTTATGGATGATTTATGGATGATTTATGGATGGTTTCTGAATGATTTATGGATTGATTTATGGATGCTTTATGGACGATTTATGGATGCTTTATGGATGATTTATGGATGATATATGGATGGTTTCTGGATGATTTATGGATGGTTTCTGAATGATTTATGGATGGTTTCTGGATGATTTATGGATGGTTTCTGGATGATTTATGGACGATTTATGGATGCTTTATGGATGCTTTATGGATGATTTATGGATGTTTTATGGATGATTTATGGATGATTTATGGATGATTTATGGACGATTGATGGATGATTTATGGATGGTTTCTGAATGATTTATGGATGGTTTCTGGACGATTTATGGACGATTTATGGATGATTCACGGTTAGTTTCTGGATGATTTATGGATGCTTTATGGATGATTCATGGATGATTTATGGATGCTTTATGGATGATTTATGGATGATTTATGGACGATTTATGGATGCTTTATGGATGATTTATGGATGATTTATGGATGCTTTATGGACGATTTATGGACGATTTATGGACGATTTATGGATGATTTATGGATGATTTATGGATGGTTTCTGGATGATTTATGGATGGTTTCTGAATGATTTATGGATGGTTTCTGGATGATTTATGGATGGTTTCTGGATGATTTATGGACGATTTATGGATGCTTTATGGATGCTTTATGGATGATTTATGGATGTTTTATGGATGATTTATGGACGATTTATGGATGATTTATGGACGATTTATGGATGGTTTATGGATGCTTTATGGATGGTTTCTGAAGGATTTATGCATGGTTTCTCGATGATTTCGGGATGATTTCTGGATGATTGATGGATGGTTTCTGGATGATTTCTGGATGATTTATGGATGATTTATGGATGATTTATGGACGATTTATGGACGATTTATGGATGGTGTCTGAATGATTTATGGATTGATTTATGGATGCTTTATGGACGATTTATGGATGCTTATGGATGCTTTATGGATGATTTATGGATGATTTATGGATGGTTTCTGGATGATTTATGGATGGTTTCTGAATGATTTATGGATGGTTTCTGGATGATTTATGGATGGTTTCTGGATGATTTATGGACGATTTATGGATGCTTTATGGATGATTTATGGATGTTTTATGGATGATTTATGGATGATTTATGGATGATTTATGGACGATCTATGGATGATTTATGGATGGTTTCTGAATGATTTATGGATGGTTTCTGGACGATTTATGGACGATTTATGGACGATTTATGGACGATTTATAGATGATTCATGGATGATTTATGGATGGTTTCTGAATGATTTATGGATGGTTTCTGGACGATTTATGGACGATTTATGGACGATTTATGGACGATTTATGGATGCTTTATGGATGCTTTATGGATGATTTATGGATGATTTATGGATGGTTTCTGAATGATTTATGGATGGTTTCTGGATGGTTTCTGGACGATTTATGGACGATTTATGGACGATTTATGGATGCTTTATGGATGCTTTATGGATTGTTTCTGGATGATTTATGGATGGTTTCTGGATGCTTTATGGATGATTCACGGTTAGTTTCTGGATGATTTACGTATGGATGCTTTATGGATGATTTATGGATGATTTATGGATGCTTTATGGATGATTTATGGATGCTTTATGGATGATTTATGGATGATTTATGGATGATTTATGGATGCTTTATGGATTCTTTATGGATGATTTATGGGTGGTTTCTGGATGATTTATGGATGGTTTATGGATGGTTTATGGATGGTTTATGGATGGTTTATGGATGGTTTATGGATGGTTTATGGATGCTTTATGGATGCTTTATGGATGATTTATGGATAATTTATGGATGGTTTCTGGATGATTTCTGGATGATTTACGGATGATTTATGGATGATTTATGGATGATTTATGGATGATTTATGGATGATTTATGGATTAATGTCCTGAAATTTCTTTGGATTTTCGGCATTGATCCATAGTCGTAGCCATAATGGACAATTCAGGAAAAAAAAAACAATTACAGCCCCCAAAAGGGACAAAAACAGAAATCCCATGATGGGATTTGCAATATGGGTACCTTCATTCAATCCATGAAAGTTTCCACATCAACAACTTACTGGAACAAAAACTGCAAAACCGAACAAGTGACAAGCATCAAGTACCAGCAATGTCAAAATCTAGGCGGAGTTCAAGTAGCAACTAATGTGGCTAACCCCAAATTATAGTATATCACAATGGATAAGCAATGTACATTATTATACCATGTCTGAAAGTAACCCTAAGAACATGGGGTTTTGCATGATCTTGCCACACTGAAGCCATGAGGGTCAAAGGTATAATGCCACATGCTTCAATTCGCTTCAATACTTGACTCATTGGTGGTTGAATTTTGTTTCCCAGCCCAATGTGACACTCTAAAGTAGGCTAAGAACAAATTTCACACTCATTCTCGTCATCTACGGGAGCGCAGTCATGGTAGGATCCAATCCCGGTTGCGATATTCCAAGCTGTTGAGAACTCCCACCCGCAGAGTCCTGTAGGAGCACATCTAAACATTCTGCCACCTGCCATAGAACATCAAGGAAGGCATGCTCTGCGACATACGTGGAATCTATAGTGTGTACATAATCTGGCACTCAAACAAATCCCTCAATCCCCAAAGCCATCATTTATAGCCAATTTGAACTGATTCATCCATCATTTTTAGCCAATGTGAAATGGTTTTCCGTGATTTTCCTAGTTTATATAGAATATACATGATTCATTTTCCATGATTTTCCATTTATCTGATGGTTTTCCATCATTTATAGAAACTTGTTTTTCCCCAGGCAGATTTCCTGCACCAGATCTGCAGGCCGCCTGCAAGGCCCATGGGTCACCCGGAGCTGCCAGTAGATGGAGCTGACCCGTTGACCTGGTTTTTCGGTGAAATCACAGGAAATAATAAGGGCACCATTTGAAGAAATTGATCCAAGACATCAAGAATTGCTATGTTCCCCATTTGCAGTATCCATATTATCACATATGTATCTCTGTATATTGTAGGATGACTATAGTGACTATATGACTTTTCTTGTTCGAGTTTAATCAGTCACTGCCGACCAATCACAAAGCCCGACCACTTGGAGTAGCCGCAACCGCACCGCCCATGTCGGCTTCACCTCTGGTGCACAAGCCATCGGTCCACACAGTAAAGAGCTGCCAACAGCCTCAGCCATCGCCCCGGAAGCATTCGAATGGGGCTCATGTTGGCTTCCAGTAGATGAAGGATACAAACAAAATAGAACAATATCATATATACAGACTAGTTGGTAGTGTCAACCCAGCCATTGTTACAAAAATATTTTGTAAACATGCTTGTTTAACATTGTTCAACAATTTTGCTACAAAAAAACACTGTAGGCACGAAAGCGCCCAAACAAACTAATCAAAAACCCACAGAAATTGGCCGAGTGTGGAGCTGCAGTAAACTAGCATAACTACGGAAGCCATGCTTACACATTAAACAACATGATTTTCATGTTTTTCCAGTTCGAAACCTATTAGCCATTACCAGAGGGTAGCAATCCGATTCTCAGCATGCCATATCTTCATCGTCAAGATTAGGGTTCTATCCACTTCGCGAGGCAAAAGAAAAACTCGTTACGTTAGTCCGATAGTACATATCCCTATCGCCCAAAAATCAAGTACTAAATGTTATTGGGCAATGTAGCAGCTTTAGTTTATCTGGCATGATAATATCATAAGCATCATGTACACATACAATGTATAGTTACATATAAAATAGTATAAAATCATAACTATAATGTATATATAGACATAATATAATCATTATATATACACATGAACATATAAGTTGCATTCTTTCGCAAGCATTACCCAGGTAGAGCTTGGCAAACGCTTTCCCAATCAGCTTCGAACCAAGACACTCTGAAGGCTCCGGGGGATGTTCCAAGGCTAAAGGCTGGGTCCATTGAACCTCGCACCACGGTCCATGGTATGGGTCAAAACCCTAGGTATCCGACAGGTATCCCCGGTATCCCCTGCTAGCTGGTGGATGTTTGATTCTCCCCAAAATATGGTAACCAAATGTTTTTCACCTTGGTGCAAGGGAATTTGCATTGCCTTGTTGATGTAGAAAATTTCGTTCCGTCTCTGTGGTTCCGAGTTTTTGGCGCATGTGCGACATGAAAATTCACAATGCTGTAGTATGACATATGTGTTGCCGAACATTGTGCATACAACGAAAAAACATATCCTATGGAAAATCCACCATTTAGAGATGATTCTATCTATTCACATCGAGGGCCATTAATCATCATTAATCACCGTTATCAACTACTATTTGCCACGGGTTTCTCCTACCCATTCACCATTGATGAAGGGTACATCCAACTACCAATGCTAGAAACATATATATATACAATTATACATACATACTATTTAATATATATATATATACACACATACGCACACACACACATGTATATGTGTATATATATATACTATTCCAAGGCGCCAAGTCGTAGGCCAGCAAACCCGCCAGTGCTGAACCACGGACCTCGGAGAGCACATAGGCTTCCGCTGATGAACCCTCTGATAGGGACATCCAATAATGGGACTACCATGGGATACAATGGGTATGAATGGATTCTCTATGAATGGATTGAATTCTCAATTTTCAGTCGTATGTTTAGTAAATGTATCAAACAATTGTCTTGAATTCACACTGACACAAGATGCTTAGTAAAGACTTGGAAAACATGGACAAACATTGCAGTGTGTGGCGAAACATTTACCACAGTGACGGTTGCTACATGCTGAATCTCCAAGCCCTGTGGAGCACGACCAACTGGTGCGACCAACTGCTATGATCTTCCCCTCACATTTCAGCGAGGTTTTTTTTCCAACGCCACCAGAAACATGTTGGTTTCCCTTCTAAAACAACTTAAATGAATTTACTGTATATGTGCCACGGTCAAAATTCCATGGTAAACGTGGGATGGTCATGCATCCAATGGGAATCATGTCCAGGGCATCTTCAACCCCCTGATGTTCCTCGCTTAGATGTGACAGGAAATTAATTGACTGGGTTGTATTCCCTTATAATTGGCTATAGTATCTGCCAGTATCTGCATAAAACTCGTGTTAATCCATTCGCTAAGCAGTGAACCAACTCTATAGTCCATCTATCCAACATCTACTTTTCTTTGGATATTTGGGATATTTAGGATATTTAGATGGACTATTCTAAATCATAAGACTCCAGGATGTTTCATCTGGCATACCATCCCGATGCCATGCCATGTGGCAGGTAAAGCTCCATCCTTGGCAGCCTGCAGGACGCTCCAAGATGTTTTTTTCTGCGTTATGATCATTGACCTACTACATGTATGACGTGATAATGTATATATATAGGTATGTGTATATCTAGATGTTTATGTGTAATGTAAATGTAGATGTATATGTATATATTATATGTATAATTAATATGTATGTATGTATGTATGTATGTATGTATATATATAATGTATAAACATATACTGTGTATATATATATGTAGAGTGTAGATGTATATGTATATTTATATCTATGTTTGACCTACCTACAGTGTGTATATACACACATTGCCCGTCCCAATTTCGATCTCTGTACCGAAAATCCATATGTATTTATATATATATATATAGAAAGATCACCATAAGAAAGAAATGGCGCTAAAAACCAACCAATGTGTCAATGTGGGTATGGGCCAAAACTTCCACCCCTGCGGCCCACAATTTGCCCACTTGTGAAATCGTAGATAGGGTATACTGTCCTGTCTCTAATAGGAGACTATATCTTTTTGCGGCCGTCAAGAAAGTCCCAGGTAAACCGGTTTATCAATCCCAATTTAATACCGGTTCAAAGTTCCATCAACATATGCAGGATGTCTGTCAGTGGAGTCCCGTCCGAACCAACAAAAAAAATTGCCTTGAAGCGATAGCCCAAACATCCAGACAAGGTTAATTCAGCTTAGAATGCCATCTATATTCCTCACTCTTTACAAAAGCTTCGTAACGTCCAATTGTGAGCTATTGGACTCATCCAAAAGTTGAGCCGTTAGAAAAACACATATTCAGATAAACTTCATCAAAACTCGTCATACCATTCCTATAATCAATTTATTTACCAACCATATCCAACACTGGTTGATGGGTTGATGTTTGCAACCCTCTTTATTGAAACATGTTCTTGTCGCTGGAGAGCATCATCCCAAATATGGTTGATGTTTTGTTTCAAACTGTTACCACATTTAGTAATACAAAATCCAAGAACTGCGAGTTCAACCATCAAAAAATATCATATCCCATGAACTTTCATGCATTAAATGCTCATTATACAATGGTTTTGAATGGTTATAACATGTTCTGTCATCGCCAAACATCATGATCATGAGATTGTCAATGGGGTGAATATATCCCATCCAATGTCTCATTCATGGTGTTGATATATCACAAATACTAGCTACTATGACTATACCCATTAATAAAACCGTCATGGGATTAACTATGGTTAATCTAAGTATCATCAACATATCAATGGTTTAACATATCCATGATGGATATAAGATGATCTCAGATACCATTATTGTTTAACGTGTCAAGGGTTTAACATCTCCCACCACATCTCACGACGGCTTCACCCTTCCGCAGCGCCTCCGAAAGCCACAGAGCATCCGAAGAGGTCTGCCGGGCGCAGGCCGCCACCTGCGAGAACCGACCAGTCATCTGACCATTTCTGCTGAACTTCCTGCTTTCCCTAAGCCGCTCTGGTACACGATGATACCAGTACTACACTCCGAAAACATAGAACAACATAGAACAACTATATAGCTGAATAATATTCAGTCCTACTATTGAAGGCGTCCCCAGAAACCCTTTAGTGGATCTATTCATTTTTGGGCCCATATGAGGGATACTTACTAGGGAAATGTGAATAGAACGACCTTTTTCGCGGTCAGTTCCAGAGTCCCACAGTCCGTTGCCGTTATCTACGCCTTGAACGACCAACCCGTGGGAGAAAAGGACTCAGTAGACATATCTACCATAAACCATAGTATAGATATATCTACCATAGTTCACTGGGTGGTTGAAACAGAATCGGAATTCCAAGCCATCATTTGGCATCCCCAGTCACAAAACTGGTTGCTGATCATGGTTGTACATACAAATGTTCCATGAAATTGTTCCTAGGTGATGCAATTGTTTGGTAACTGGGACAATATCCTGAAGTGGGTCAAATTGCATTCTACTCATTATGTACTTTCAGTGATGAGTCTTTGGTCCCAATTTGGATGTTCATCTCAGTTAAGTAGTCTAACCATATCAATACCCGGTCATAGATGGGATCTGAACCCAGTATAACCCATCTACATTTGTATGTGTATATATAAATATAAATATATTATATATGCATGTGTATATATATATATATACAAATATGATGCAGGTTGTTGGCCAAACACTGGCTGAGATGCACCTCCAAGAAACACCATGAAATGTGGGGATTCAATCAGAAACAAAAACAAGAAACCAACGATTCTTAACCACCACGAACCCATGTGTAACAATGGGCAACCACTATTATTAGCCACTATTATTCTATATCATCATCATTATCACATGTTCAAAAAAATAAAAAAACACAACAATTATTAACCATGTATAACATGTTAAAGCATAACCATTGATAATAATAGTAATAACAATATAATATAATATATATTATCATATATACTATACCATGTACTATAACATATGCTATAATATATACTATAACATATAATATAATAAATACTATAGTATATACTATAACACATACTATAATATATACTATAATATAAACTATATATATATGCTATATACTAATATATATATACTATAACACATACTATAGTATATACCAAAATATAATGTATATTATAACTTAAATATAATATATACTATGACATATACGAAAATATACCATAATAAATACTCTAATACATACTATGATATATACTATAATATATACTATAATATATACTATAATATATACTAATATATATACTATAATAAATACTCGAATATATACTATAATATATACTAAAACATAAACATTTATATACTATAATATATACATATATATACTATAATATATATTTATATACTACTTACTACTGTATAATATATACTATCCTATTTACTATAATAAAATAGTATATAGTAAAATATATACTATAATACACCATAATATACTATAATATACTACAGTATACTATAGTATACTATAATATACTATAATATACTATAATATACTGTAATATACTATAATATACTATAATATACTATAATATACTGTAATATAGTATAATATACTATAATAAACTATAATATACTATAATATTATACTGTTGATCATTCTTTAGAATCACCATTAAGTATTGATTTGCTGGTGATCGGCATTATACGGTTCTTTAATTGATTATATGTGCTGGTGATTAAACAATAAATTGTTTATTTTGCTGATGACCATTTATAATAATCAATAATTAATACAGCACCAATTTATGCAGTATTATATATAAAAGGATCATTTGCTAGTGATTGACCATTTACATTCATTTACAAAAATCGTACTATATCCATTGAATTCATTGAATCCATTATTAACAATTATAACCAAATAATAATGATGATTGCCAATGATTAACCAGTGATTCACCATTGAATCCATTGGTCCATTGATTTGCTGATAGCTTCAGCTATCCCCACCTGTCGCAAGGCTGGACCCAGGCGCCGCTGAGGCGGCAGCTCCGACAAGGCCTACGCACAAGTGACCAGGTCAGCGAAGGCATTGGGCTTTTTGGATTTACCCAGTGAAAATGGTGATTTACCTATTGAAAATTGTGATTTACCCAGTGAAATTGGTGATTTGCCTGTTGAAGATGGTGATTTACCAAGTGAAGATGGTGATTTACCTATATATTGAAGATGATGATTTACCTATTGAAGATGGTGATTTACCCATTGAAAATTGCGATTTACCTATTGAAGATCGTGATTTACCCAGTGAAAATTGTGATTTACCCGGTGAAAATTGTGATTTACCTATATATTGAAGATGGTGATTTACCTATTGAAGATGGTGATTTACCCATTGAAAATTGTGATTTACCAATTGAAGATGGTGATTGACCTATTGAAAATGGTGATTTACCCAGTGAAAAAGGTGATTTACCTATTGAAGATGGTGATTTACCAAGTGAAGATGGTGATTTACCTATATATTGAAGATGGTGATTTACCTATTGAAGATGGTGATTTACCCATTGAAAATTGCGATTTACCTATTGAAGATGGTGATTTACCCAGTGCAAATTGTGATTTACCTATTGAAGATGGTGATTTACCTATTGAAGATGGTGATTTACCCAGTGAAAATGGTGATTTACCTATTGAAGATGGCGATTTACCCAGTGAAGATGGCGATTTACCTATTGAAAATTGTGATTTACCCAGTGAAAATTGTGATTTACCTATTGGAAATGATTATTTACCCAGTGAAAATGGTGACCGAGTTTCCATTTGGAACAAGTTCCAATAAGTCAGACTCATGTCAAACTCATCTTGGGAGATATTGGGCAAATTCATCTCCACCTCCACACCACCTTGTGACTTACGTGAACAAAGATGCACAAAAAAATCAGTTTCTCCCTGATTTCAGTCAGAAGAAACTGGAGGTCGACCGAGCCATCAACAAAGGTGATTTCACCCTCAAAAGATGTATTTCATATGTATTATATAATAATTTATATTTAAGCCACCGGCACTGTTAACAAACCCGCAGTTTTTGTCTCTTTTCAAAGGTCATTCATGTCAGTTCGAAGATACGCACGTCAGTTCGAAGTTGTGCACGTCAGTTGGAAGTTATGATCGTCAGTTAGAAGTTGTGCACGTCAGTCAGAAGGTTGCGCACATCAGTTAGAAGTCCTGGGCATCAGTTAGAAGTTGCACACGAATGACCATGTGATTCTTGTGGGGAACTGGGTGGGTGGAGTGGGGTGAGGGGGGCAAGGGGCATGCACGTTGATGCTACGCTGATGAGATCTGTAAAGCCTGGCGGTGCAAAAAGAGATTCCGAAAGGATTCAAATATATGTATATGTATGTTTTTTTGCCTCAACCACAAGAAAGAGTTGAAAGGAAGTCTGGCCCAATTGGCCGCCAAGGCTAACCGACGCAAACGATGACGCGAGACAAAAAAGGGAACAAAAAAACAGTTTGCAAAATCCATTTTCGAAATTAACATTTGCAACAAATCGGCACCTATAATTGAATGATCAATAAATAGTTTCCTATCGCAACGTGGGACAAAATCACCATACTTGTTTTCAAAACAAGACAACAAAATCATGACGCCACCACAGTTTTGAGCACAAGGATGGAAAATCCATGGAATGAAAAGCACTGAAACGCATTAAAAACCACGGGGCCGCTATTGGCGCCGGAATCTGATTTAAGCAGTAAAAAATGTGGTTTTCAGCATTTGTCAATTTAGATTAACTTCACGAGACCACATGCCAGTGGCCCCAACTTGTGTTTTCTTAGTTACAGTAATTACGAGGCAGGCAGCCGCAGGAGGGCAAACAACTAGTGTTACTCCACCCTGCTGGATGTTGTTTAGAGCCGCCCTCAAATCCAGATAAACTGCGATACAAAACCTTGGAGAGTATTCGTAGCTGCTGATACTGGTGGCACATGGCCAATGACCAAAAGGTGGCGAAATACAGCAAATTCATATCTTTCAATCACCATTGGGTACTAAGGTCGCAGAGACCAGCCCAACCATCAAAAAACCCATGGGGCAGACCCGGCATACCCTTGTTGTCTAGCCTGTGGTTGTTGCATACATGAAGTCATGTTGCTTGGGCAACTTCTCCAGCTCTTCAAAATGAAATCATGAGCTATATATAGTTTAATAAAATTTGATAACATAGTGCAACCTTCAATGATTACTTTTGAAAGTATGTGCCCTCGGGTGGTTCCACTGGATGTGAAGCCACCCAAATGAGTCTGGTGAGTGGTTTCAGCCAATCTTGGCCAGGGATACACAAGAAACTATACTACTGGCTAGCCTAAAAATAGACCACCCTCAAATTTGACGGCTTATCATCATATGATATGTACCAATTGATATAATCTGATTTAAATAGCATGGAATCAGCCCCTTTCTGGGCAAATACATGCTAGTTCCTGAAACCACCAACTTGTACCATGGGCCCCTAAGGCTTGTCAGGCATGGAGGTACTGATCTATTTAAGACCTATGCAAGGGAATCTCCCCATAGAATTCGGCTGGATATGATCGTATGTGATCTTGGATGGTGCAAGACTTCCATTTTAGTGTCCTACATTTCCACAGTTCCTAGCCAGATACCAACTTCATCCAAGTTCTACCTGCATGATATCTGCATATCCACCTATCAGTTCACCTATGGATCGACGGGCTGCTCATCACTGCTACTATCTGTGACATAACCAGGACAAGTCCAGCAAACTTCGAGAAATTGCAAAGAAGCAAAAGCAAAACATTATACTATAGCGCAATGTTCATTGATCTCGTGGACGTTGTTTTGCAATACTGTAGTTGTGGATAGTTGTGGATATCATTCATTTGTGAACATTGCCAACATCCCCACTGCGATTTGTGCGCAAACACGTAGTTCCACTTCTGGTGTAAACTGCTGGTAGGGTAGGTTTGTTGATATAGTATTGCTTGGGAAATGCCAGTCTGTGTGTTTAAAACCAAAACTCCTACTTGACCAACAAAGCCATAAAAAACATACCAACTCCCGCACAGTTTCACCTAGTCGGACGCATTCCTGGAGCACAGAAATTCTCTAATCTACAAAGATACACCAAGTATCCCAGCTACAATGTCCTTGATATCTTGGTTCAAGCAGAATTCCAATCGCATGTCTTGATTGTCATCTCCTTCAGCCAGCTGCGAATTCCCGATCATCTCCCAATGACTTGTTTTTGTTGTTCCATTAGATGTTGGCTCGACCCCCATCGTAGTCGGTTCAACCCCAGTTGAACCCACGTTGCTTTGTTGATTCAATCTTCAATGGCTTGATGTACGGCAAATTCTGCTGAGAACCCCATATTTCATGGGAAAAGCTATAGTTTCCTGTAAACCAGTCGATTGAAATCTGCGTCTTTGTCAATCACTTCCTACGTTTGTGGCTGAAATCCTGACAGGTCAATGGAAAATCCACTTTTGGTCAGCCAAATCTCCGGTAATCAAACGTGGCAATGGGAAATCTGCTCAAAACTGAGGGTTTTAATATGTTTTAATGGGATATTCCTCTGCAAATGGAAGTAAATCTCCACTTTGTTGGACAACCCCCCTATCCATGTTTTGCCTAGTAAAGTTATCCTGTTCTGTCAGTTCAACCTCCATTTCTTGTTGATTATCTCAATCATATCCCTGATTATCGCGGATGGATAAATACAACCAATTGCAACCACATTTCGCTAACTACGTCCTATTAACGTCCCATGAACATTCCTGCGAAATCACTATGTTTCATGGCTTCAAGCCCCAGCGAATTAAACTGCACTATAAATCCCATTACAACCGCATAAAAAAAACTACAAGATCTACAATTGTAGTTGGTGAAATCCCATTGAATCACAAGATACAATGTATGAAATCCCCATGACATGAGACCCAATCAATCCATATAAATCTCATTAAATCCATTGAAATCCACCGTTTCTCCCGAAAAAAAAAGTGGCCTGCCAGCGTCCGAAGCGCCACTGCTGCGGCTGCCAGTTGAGCGGCACGGTCTCCTCACTGCGCAGCAGTGGAAGCTGCCCCTGCAAGGGGGAGTTCCTGGCGACATCCGGTGTACTGGTGGGGATTACCACATGTTTTATGTGTTTTTCAATGTATATCATCATCATCATCATCACCATCATCATCATCATCAAATATATATATATATATATATGTATATGTGTGTATGATGATACATGTATGTATGTATGTATGTATGTATGTATATAAATAAATACATGTATTATATATATATACAGAGAATCTACTTTGAAACCTGAGGCGACCCATACTTTGATGGGAAGAGATACACGTGAAATCGAGTAAATGGCGTGAAGTGAGAGTCTTTGTATACGAGAGAGAGAGAGAGAGAGAGGGGGGGACCGAGAGATTGATATGGATGGAAATGGAATGATGGGATATAGGGAATTAGACATATACGCGGGGAATGATGAAAGATGATGGAAGTATATTGAACTGATCGGAATTGTATATGGGTTTGAAACATCAACCCGGAACAGTTCTAGGACATTTACCAGTCAACCAACGCACATGGGGGATGAAACAAGAAGCCAACATCTCATGATATCGCAGCATAGTTGAACATGTTCAACACCTGGGTGAACATGATATGTACAGTATGAACTCACTGTTCGTTGACAAATTTGGAAACAAAGTCAATGAACCCTGGTTTTGAGAATGATCAAGAAAACTGGGCGCAGCATACATACCCGGAGAACAATACATGGAATTCTTGGGTAATAGCCAATTGTTATCAATTGTCCTTGTTTCTGATGTTGTTGTGACAAGAAAATGCAAAACAATGTTTACATGGCTTTTACACGGGGTACTTGTTGATCATATAGTTGATACACATATGTTTTACATGCCTATCATTATACTATGGTTTAATAAACAATATCAAATATATGATACACATTCACTATTGTTGATCATAATTGTGTATCCATTCAACGATAGACATTTATCATGCCACATGGTGCTTCGTGAACCTGGGCCGCCCCAGGTTAGCGCCTAAAGTTGGGATAGGTTAACCTACAGATTCAAAACATTTACCCCATATTATATTACCCATCCACGTTTCAGAATTCCAGATGTATCTTGGTTCTCAAGGTACAGCTCCTCCCTCCGGTAGTCTAGGCAATGGAAAAATCACTCTTGTATAGACTACATTTCCATTTAAAAGGTAACCCCTGCCAACAAAAAAAACAATTAAAATCACAATTTCAACAGGATTTTGCCATGTCGCTATTGAATTTCACCAGATATAACATCATATTTTGTTGCCAGAGTTTACCATATGTCCTATCTATTTTACCATCCTTACATGCATGTCCCATGGAAAATTGGGTGCGATGCAACTCAAAAAAAACCCACCTGGCTGGCACGGTTCGACCTACCTGCGGTCCCGGTCTTGGTGCAGTGAGGGTCTAGTGATCTAGAGATCTTGGGGATGTATAGTAATAGCACGGAATATAACTGGCAGACTATGGAATAACTACTATTCAAATATCATTGGAAGAACTATTCATGGAATATCATTGGCATACCTAATCAGCATAGCTGGGGATTTTAGCATTTCTTCAGTAATTAGCATAGACGTTGGTCTATGCAAGCATATGAAAGCCCTATCTAAAGGAACAACATTAATCCTTCCGTTTTCGATTTTCTGGACCTTTACGGCACATTGGTAACATGGATTAATCCAGAGCTACCGCAATAGACCATGGTTTGTACAGGTTAAAATTCGAGACCTCGGGGCGCCTCATATGTTCAAACCTTATCTTGACCTATAAGCAACAGTTACACTTTCCCTCTCAGTCTCTCCAAATATAAATATATAACAACACGAGATGCAATATATATATATATATTACACGTACATATGTTACATATGTGTGCATGTATTGATCTATTCATTCAGTATTCATTGTGTGGATTTGGTTGCTATCTGTTTGGAGCTGATATGAGTTGATTGTGATGGATTTGTCTGAAACTAGAATACCCTTTAAATTTCAAGGTTCCATGGTTCATCATTACTTTCCGTATCAAAACGCGTTGGAAGTGACTTCGAAGTGCCACAAACCAGCGGCACCTGCGGCTGCTTCGCCAGAAACCGCAGCATGGGCGGCCCAGCCAGCAGCGTGCTCGAGGCCACGTCCTGGAGCAACCATTGGTGCAACTGTTTTTTTTTGCTGAAAAAGGATATCAGCTGTATTTAAAACATTTTAAAACCATGGTCAATATACAGAGGGAAAAATAAGCCCAAGCAAATGTTTTTTCTACAAACATTTGCTATGATAAATGAAGAATGCATTATACTGTACATTTTGTATATATATATATACATTCAGTTTTGGCACGTGTATCAATCACATATTATTCAGTGGGATGCGCGTCCTGTTTTACAGGGGTGGTTGGTGCATGATAAATGAGCGGATCCAGTTGTTGCATCACATTGATGGTGTTACTATCGCTTGGGTTACGTTGTTGATGGCCGTTGTTGCACTCATACCCAGTCCACATACAATGGGGATATGCATAGATATAGAATGATATAGACATGTATAATGTGGGTGTCGCTGATCAGATTGTACAATAAATCATGAATAAAATCCCGGGGTGTTGATCGTTGTAGCCTATATCAGTTCCATGTATTCGTTGGTTGAAATGTCTACCTACTAATGTTTGTTCATTGAAAACTCAATGTCTTTAAGAATGTGACAGCGGCTAGTTTATCTCAATGTTTTTGCCAGAACCCCATGATTTGCTACATTTTTGGTGATACATATAAAAGCCACAAAGGCTCATGACTGAACAGAAGATAAGTAAAACACAATTATTCAGTACCCCGTAAGTAAACAAACATCAAATTATATCAAATGATCTATATTGACAAATATCTCTATACATCGATGTCTGTAACTGTAGATACATACATATTATATATATAATTATATGTATTTGTGTATATATATATATATGTAAATAAATTCATACATGTGTATATATATATCTAGATGTAAACATATGTTTTTAGATGTCCTTCTGTATTCAGACCTAAATATCTATGTCTAAATTTTGATATGTCTTTCTACCTATCTATACTTACCTATATTCATCTATCCATCTAGCTATCTGTCAGTATGTGCATATTTTTTATCCATACTTACTTAGATCAAATGTACCTACGTATACTAGTATATAAATAGTATTTATCCACCCGTCCAAGTCATGTTTGTACACCAACTCGAATATACCAACTATTTTTTTTCCTACTGATTCTTGTATGTAGCCCATGTAGCCAACAGCGTGAACCTTCAAGCGCTGGAGCAGCTTTGTTAGCCCCTTGGAGGTAGTTAGGCACAGCCCTATAAAATCCTATAAATACATCTATCAATTCATATATTCATATATTTCTCTGCATATGTATACACACAAATATGTATATATATATATACATATGTCTATCTATATAATTACTTATCTATTAATATATATATATATATGTGTATATCTCTTTATGTAAATATCTGTATTTATATATATATAATAATTATCTAGATCTAGATCTAGATCTATCTATTTGCTTGCCTGTCTCTGCCTAGGCCGCCTAGGCCGCCTAGGCCTATGTCTTTGTCTCTGCCTGTGTCTCTGTCTGTCTATGTATATATATATATATAATTACATATATATATACATACACAAAAATATCAGTTTGATATCCTACCATATATATATATATATATATATTTAGTAGATACATCTATCCATTTCTCTATATCTATCTGCCTAAGTAAATTTACGCCCAGCACTTGCGCCATGCCCCAATGTCTTTCGGGATGACACTTACAGTACTTTGTGGCCTTCCACTATGTTGGGATGTTATAACTTGATGTCTCTGGGTTGCAAACCCAGAGACGTGTTTGATGACCCTCTGCGGCGATTCGGCTGCCTGGAAAGATTGGCACTTTTTACATAATGAAACCTTTAGAAAAAACTAGAAAAAATCTGGGAAAAACCTGATAAATTTATCCTAGAGAAACCCTAGAGAAGCCCTAAATGAACCGAAAGAAACCCTGAAAAAAAACGTGTGAAAGTGTGTATAGAATATATAGTCTAGTGAAGTACCTGTGGGGCGTAGCGCACGTGCTGCGGGTCTGGGCTGCCGAACCGTCACGGGGCCACCCGAGTGCAGCATCAGCTGATCCGGCGCGTTTTGCGACGAGCCCCTGAGGGCCGCAGCACGGATGGGGAGCTACCCTGGAGGCAATGGGGCTTAAACCAAGAAAATGGATGAACATGGGAACCCAAATCATCTATCTATCTATCTATCTATCCATCTATCCATCCATCCATCCATCTATCTATCTATCTATCTCTGTCTGTCGATCCATCCATCCATCCATCCATCCACCCATGCATCCATCCATCTATCCATAAACCTATGGATGGTTTTACCAAAAAAAAAGTCTAAGCATGACTGTAAGACATGAACCAAAAGGATATATGTGTTATCATGCAAGCTAGGGTTCCGACCATGAGAACTCTGAGGTCTCATCACAAAACCAAAAAAGGATTTCATTCTTGCAGCAGAAATTGGGTGGACAAAAAATCTGCCAAGAAAATCTGGGTTTTTCTGCAAACAACAAAAAAGAGGGGTTTTGTAAAACACATCTATCAAACTGTTGAGGGGATGTCACCAATCAGGATGGCCATTTTACGCAACTCTAATGAGGAATTTGATGATCAACTATTGGACGGAATGGGGTAGCCCTATTTCAGGGTATCCATGGCTATCCCATTTCAAAATCCATTGTAACCCCACTTATCCTCAGACACTAAGTAGTGTCACCCAGTAGTTTCAAATAGGGAGTGTAACTAGCAGTATACAAAGTAGTTCCTTATCTATAATTTACTATTTTCCAATCAGCTACAAACCAGTTAACTGAGAAGTGAAACATTTCACAACGAGTTTTCAATGTTCTTTTTCCTTACGAGTAACAGTTAGGAGTATCAAATTTTATTTCCAGTTGTTCCGCACATTTTCAACCGCCCCTACCCGACCCAAGTAGCGACCCGCCAAGACATCCGAGACACGAAGCGCCCCACAGCGCGCGTTTTCGCAGCCCTTCAGCCACGAAGGGCATCAGCTGGTCGTCTGCCTTGGCGAAAGGCCGCCAATTGTGCACTAGAGTTGTTGAAAGGGAGCGCGCAATATGAAGGTTCTATCCCTGGTCCAGTTTTTGTCGTTACAAATCGTTATACTGTCTAGATGTTGACAGGTTTGATCCCCACGGATTGTTGTTGTGCTTGTTCTGAGGTGTTTTTGATTGTCCCTATTCCTGCCTAATTCCATCTTCTTTGGACATTGGAGCGAGTCACCACACCTTTGGTTCCGAGCAACCCCCACATCCCAGCACCATCCACGTTTACCATCGTCCGCCAATGCAGCGGCAACAATGGTTTCCTCCAGAGAACCTTGGCGCTTGGCGGGCCGACGATCTGCATGTGTTGCAAACATTCCCTGTATGGGTAAAACAATGCCATAAACCATCCCCTAGTCATCACCATAAATAGGTGGTATATACGGTATTAGCCATTCCCAAATGGGTGGTTTATGGCATTGTTTTACCCACAGTATGCCTAGTTGTTCTTCGCCGGGTGAATCCACATTATGTTTTCTATCACATATTTGTTGCTTAGACGAATGCCGTGTTCCTGGTGGCCCCATCAGCAGACAACTGGTAGAAACAGTACCCCCGACCACCTATGGCGGATTGCACATTTAAATCTTGAGATCTTGAAAGAGATGGAGGACCAAACCCAATCAAGTAACATTGCAGAGGCATACCACACTGAACATGATTGAAACTGTATTTATTCCTCCAACTCTTTACCCGACAATTGGGCGGGATTGACTCACCGACGAAGCCCGAGAAAACAATGTTTTGGGATGTTTTGGGTCCCCTCAAGCACCCCATCTTGGTCGCCTGACACATCCCTGGCCACTTTTTCTTGTCATACATCTCTAGTCACAATGAATCGGATGTGTCAAAACGGAACTGACAGACATATTGCCTAATGAATGGACAGCACTGAAGCACTGAAAACTCGATGGCAAGGTCACCTGCTCCAGGCTTTGGTTGAATGCATTGCCAAACCTCAAGCTTTGAAGACTGGGTGGCAAAGTCACCCGCTCCAGGCTTTGGTTGAACCAAACGCCAAAACTCAAGCTTTGAAGACTCGATGGCAAGGTCACCTGCTCCAGGCTTTGGTTGAATAGATCGCCAAAACTCAAGCTTTGAAGACTCGATGGCAAGGTCACCTGCTCCAGGCTTTGGTTGAACCCATGGCCAAAACTCAAGCTTTGAAGACTCGATGGCAAGGTCACCTGCTCCAGGCTTTGGTTGAACCCATGGCCAAAACTCAAGCTTTGAAGACTCGATGGCAAGGTCACCTGCTCCAGGCTTTGGTTGAACCCATGGCCAAAACTCAAGCTTTGAAGACTCGATGGCAAGGTCACCTGCTCCAGGCTTTGGTTGAACCCATGGCCAAAACTCAAGCTTTGAAGACTCGATGGCAAGGTCACCTGCTCCAGGCTTTGGTTGAACCCATTGCCAAAACTCAAGCTTTGAAGGCTCGATGGCAAGGTCACGCGCTCCAGGGTTTGATTAAACAAATGGTCAAAACTCAAAATTTGAAGACTCGATGGCAAGGTCACCCGCTCCAGGCTTTGGTTGAAATCATGGCCAAAACTCAAGCTTTTAAGACTCGATGGCAAGGTCACCTGCTCCAGACTTTGGTTGAACCCATAGCCAAAACTCAAGCTTTGAAGACTTGATGGCAAGGTCACGCACTCCGTCCTTTGGATGAAACTCTTGCCTAAACTCAAGCTTTGAAGATTCTCTGGCCAGTTCACCCATTCCAGGCTTTGGTCGTACCCATCGCCCAAGATCAAGCTTTGAAGACTCGATGGCAAGGTCAGGCGCTCCAGGCTTTCGTCAAAGCCTAAGCCAAAGCTCAAGCTTTGAAGACTCGATGGCAAGGTCACCAGCTCCAGGTCTTGGAAAAACCCATCCCCAAAGCTCAAGCTTTGAAGACTCGATGGCAAGGTCACCCGCTCCAGGCTTCGTACGGGCAAACCAAACAAATACACCTCATCACAGGGACTTGGGGGCGATGCCCAAAACGTCAAGCTTTTAAGACTCGATGGTAAGGTCACCCGCTCCAGACTTTGGTTGAACTCGTAGCCAAAACTCAAGCTTTGAAGCCTCGATGGCAAGGTCACCCGCTCCAGGCTTTGGTTGAACCGGTGGCCAAAACTCAAGCTTTTAAGACTCGATGGCAAGGTCACCCGCTCCAGACTTTGGTTGAAATCTTCGCGAAAACTCAAGCTGTGAAGAGTCGATGGCAAGGTCACCTGCTCCAGGCTTTGGTTGAACCGGTAGCCAAAACTCAAGCTTTTAAGACTCGATGGCAAGGTCACTCGCTCCAGACTTTGGTTGAAATCTTTGCCAAAACTCAAGCTTTTAAGACTCGATGGCAAGGTCACCCGCTCCAGACTTTGGTTGAAATCTGTGCCAAAACTCAAGCTGTGAAGAGTCGATGGCAAGGTCACCTGCTCCAGGCTTTGGTTGAACCGTTCGCCAAAACTCAAGCTTTGAAGACTCGATGGCAAGGTCACGCCTTCCAAGCGTTGGTTAAAGCTTGCGCTAAAAGTCAATCTTGCAAGGCTGCGGGGCAGATAATGTATATACTCTCCAGGCACTGCTTCCTCAAGTTGTTGAACGCCTTCTAGCACAAAATCTCTCTCACAATTTGGGAGCCCACATACATATGTCCATGCTGTGTACACATTCGTGGGTATGTAAGTGCAGGAAAGCATTGCCGATTTTCCAACAATATCTTGCTCTCTCAAGGTTTGATCAAAGGTTAGCTTTCGATTCATGTGATGCACGGCGAGCTTTGCGCCGGGCTTGCATGGAAGCTTCTCTGACACCAACCTGCGCAGGTCGTACACAAGCATAGAGCGAGGGACGCTTAATGCCACTCCTTCTCCACTCAAGCACAGCACCTGAAGATCGACCTCATCAGTTTCATCCGTTGCGCCTTTGTCAGCAGATGATGGATCCACATAACCATGTTGCGCAGGGAGCATTGGCCAAGATTTGCGCACTCCTCACTGGGCAAAGCCGAACGATCGTGTCAAAAACACAAACAGGTACAAACCTTGCATGAAACAGGGAACCCAAAGATGACCATTTCCAAATGCCCAACATCCTGTTCCAACACCACTTTTGGGTGCTTAAGTATAATATATAGTATATACATAAACTTATCTACATATATATATATATATATGTATTAGTTCTCAGCAACTGCCTGATGGATTGCAATCGATTCTGGAGGTGAATTGGTCATGGCAAATTCTGAGGTTGTTTGTCCCAATACTTTTGTTAGACAAACCATTAATTGTTCCTGCATGTTCCTGCTAAAACAATGCTAAAATGCAGTAATTACCTGCATTGTTGGGCAAAACCAACTCATGTTTGACTCAAATGCTGCCTCGCGTGATGCAAAGGGTCTCAGTTGCATCATCCATGCTGGTTTCTTCGAAGGGACCGAAACATCGCCACAAAGGAGTAGGCACCAAACTATGGGTTTGGTAAATAACCCCAATAAATTAGGCGATTTGGGAGTACAATTCCCAACACATTAACCCATAAACCAGTAGTTCGAATAAGTTAAAGTGAAAATTCAAAGTGTTCGGACTACCTCTCAAGAGCAACGGTCAGTCTAAAGAGTGCGGAAAAAAACAAGGTGCTAGGAATCAAACAAAAGTCTTTTCTTCCGCTAAAGTCTGATAAGAGGTGACATTATCTCATGTGTGCAATATTTGTTTCTTGAAGAAGAACATCAACTATAAATGAGGAGGCTTTAATGTCATGTTCCAGTCAGGTTGGATAGATTTCCTTAAAGACCAAACTATCCAAGGTCACAAACTGGGATGCACACGCCTAGGTACCCTGTAAGAAGCTAGTCTGAAACACAGGGGTTTTCGTTCTCCATGTATTTACATATGTATATATATATACATATAACTCATCACATACATACATACATACATACATACATATATATATATACATGATTTATGTATACATATATATATATATATATATATTATACACACATTATGTACATACATGTGATGTACATACATATGTATGTATGTATGTATGTATGAATGTATGTATGTATGTATGTATGTATGGATGTATGCATGTATGTATGTCTGTATGTATGTATGTGTGTTTGTTTGTTTGGTTGTTTGTTTGTATGTATATACCTGGGTAAATCATAATATTTCACTAACCTGAATTAAGGCCATTTTGGGATGATTCCCCTTACTAACCATGATTCCAGTGAGGTCGCAGTGAGGTCGTTATACTTTACCCAGATATATACAATAATATATATATATATAACTATATATATATGTAATATATATATATATATGTAATATATATCGATAGATAAATATATTAAAAAATAATCAAAGATATGTACATGCATTACATCACATCACATTCCATTACATTACGTTGCATTTGCATTGCATTGCGTTGCAGCGCATTACATTTCATTCAATTACATTTCATTCAATTACGTTGCATTGCATTGCATTGCGCTGCAGCGCATTACATTTCATTCAATTCCGTTACATTGCAGTACAGCACACTATATTACATGTTGTATCAACCCACCTACATACCTACCTACATTCATTATCTTTTGTTACATTACATTACCTTACATTGCCCTACATTGACTTGCATTACCTTACAGTACATTACATTGCATTACATTGCATTACATTGCATGACATTGTATGACATTGCATGACATTGCATGACATTACATTATATACACTACATGTGTCATTTCATTTCATTGCATTGCATTAGAGACAAAGTAGGTACTAGTCACTAGTGATACGTAATACATAGGTCTTGGCATAAAACTGATCAGAATCCTCGCAACTGTGTAATGCGCAACCACTTGCCGAGCTACTTTACAGCCCGATTGAAGCAATTTTGTCAGCATGCAAAGCATTTGACTGACGTCATTGAATACTCTGGTGACCAACGGATGTACCCAAGCTGCAGCCTTTAGGCAAATAATGTTCTAGACATATATAATTATATAATAATATATTCACATGTAATCACGTGCTGGGGGCTGGCCTTCTGCAGTAGGCAACCAGGTGAGAATTCCTTATTCAAATGCACTGGTCCTCACATGCTATAGAGTTGGGCAGGTTCCTCAGGCAAACATACAATTGGTGTGAACAACCTGTAGAAGCATCTCGCTTCTTGGCTTCCTCACTGCCCTGTCTCTATCTGCATGCTGACCAGCGTTTCTGATCCGAAATGTGCATGCATGCATGACCATTCATATATATTCATATATGAGATGAATAGCGGACACAATTACTTGTTCATTTTCATGCCATGCACAAATTAGGGTTGTTCCCTAATGGATGTGAGGGCTTCTGCGTTCTCAGATTTAGAGGCAACTCATGTAAAACAGTAGTGTCTGTATAGGGTTGTCCCCTATCGGTAATGAAGGTTGCACACCCCTCAGCAAGGCCAAGCCGAAGCAAGACTAAACGAGTATTACTACAATAATTTTGTTGGTTTCTCATATGACGAGTTATAAAGTATATAGCTGACATCAAAACGCAGTGCAGCCAGGATGCACCAACGACTTTCGCGTGTTGCCTTGCTGGTGAACAACTGGGAAAAAAACTGAAACACCTTTGCAGACCACAAAACGTTATCTGGAATTCCGATCGTCAACATCACCGCTTGCGATTCATATGATTCGTAGAAATGTTCAAAACATGTCAGAAGTCACAAGTCCCATAAAAACAAAAGGAAGTCAATCGTAACATGTCCCCATTGATGTTCAACATAGCCTTTAACGTTTAGTGCCAATCCACTGGAAACAAATACTTGGGGTA